GATTTGTGTGTAAACACCCGCCATAGGGGAAAAACACACACATTTGCAGCTCCTGTGTCTGTGTAAGCAAAGTCGGATGACAGCTTCAATGAGTAACTTCAGTAACGCGCAGTAACGGCGAGTTGGTGACGGTAACGGCGTTATAACGATAGATAAAGTAATTAGTTAGATTAACCGTTACTGAAAAAAGTAAAAAGTAGGAATAACGGTGTTACTGAGTGTAAACCATGGTATAGTGTTGCTTAGCATAGCATAGCATACCTAAATAATCTCAGTATAGCGTAACTGAGTATAGATGTGGCATGTCTTAGTGTAGTGTATATTGTACTATCTTCATATTGTCTTTTTGTCATATCCTTCCTCTCCCTGCCAGTCATCTCCATCTCTGTGATCTTTGGTCAAATAGTCCCCTGTATTACTCAACAAAATACTTAATTCTCCTCAATGTTGCCATTTAAAATATGTCTCAAAACTGCTCCACCTGTCCATGTGCATCCTGGTCATGTTCTGAATATTTTTTAACTCTGCCAACCTCCTGCTCAACCTTCTGCCTTCTCTCCTCAACACGGCAAATGCACTGGAGGACATCTTTCCATCAACCTTCTCCTTGTTCCTCCATTTGCCTGTGAGCCTCGATCTCCTCTCTCCTTTTGCTGGGTGAACAGCGCCCTCTTCCTGCTGCACGGTGCGAAAGCTGCACAGCTAACAAGTGATCTCAATTTGCAGTCTGACAGCAAACACAGGCATAGTGCGGTCAGCTGCAGTCCTGTTTGTTTACTGTACAGCCACTGTTTGGTTGAGTCAAAATAAATAATACACATGGCTTCACCAACACTGGAATGACACAGTGGGTGTTTCTATTGGTGGAGAATCTTTGTTTGAAGCAGCCTTTGCCAATCAGTGCTCAGAAGTTGCGCGACAACACCGCATGGCTGTAAAGGGTTAAGGTGCTGACCATTGATGTGTATGTAAAAAAACTGTATTTAAGCTTTGAGTGCTGAGGAGTTCCTCAGTGCAGTTCTGAATGTAACCACTGTTCTGCACTCCTTGCTTGCAAGTAAAACTTTTAAAATTTGAGATCTCGTATTTGATTCTTTATTTGATCAGACCTTTATTTGATCTTTATTTGAATTAGTTTTGTGTGTTAGGAAACTGGTATGAACTAACAGCATTTTTTACAGTCCTATCTAACAGAGAAAGTTTCCTGACGAGTGAGGAGGTGAGGCTGTTTCCTGACACTGACAACCAACATCCTTCACTGTCACCATGGTCATTCACATCCACAATCACTGTAGTCTGGCTAATGGCCTGTCTGTGGTACCAACATAGTTTTAATGAGGCTTTTTAATTCAAATATTTTATGGCCTGTGTGAAGGTTGGATATTTACCTTTTACTGGAGGATGTTTTTATTATTGTTATGGGTAAATTAAGATGATTTAAACTTTTTTCTATGTTTTATTTTGGTAATTTTTGCTAATATTGCTGTTGCTACTACTACTACTACTCCTTTTACCTCTATTTTTATAATATAGAGGTATTTGTTCATTTTTAATGCTACAAATAATTACCGTATATGTATATATAATGTTTTCCTAACTTAACCACCCTTAAGAAACATGTTGATATCTAAATGCTTTTTTTTGTTTGTTTGTTAGATATTCAGCCAAAGCTATAGCAACATCAGGTTTACTGCACATATGAAGATTGCATGTACTGGCCTCTAGTGGTCAACAGGTAGAACGAAAAATGACACCAATAGCTGAAACTGAAAACTTGCTGTGTAAATAAAAGATAAAAGCATTTGCTAACAATATATCACGGAAAATAGCAAAAAAGACAAAGAACTAGACCTGGAAACTAGATTTAGGTTTCTACAAGAAGTGAATTATTATTATTGAATTATTATTTTTGCTTTGATTAAACATTGACTAACACCAAACATTTTTAGTTACCAACTTTCTTTCAAGATTCTTTCGAGAATTTTTTTTGAAAAATCTGTTCTCTGCAGCTAAATTCAGTGCTTTAAGTTAAAGGAGCAATTTCACGATGAAATTCTATTCAAAAACTCGTTTCCATGAGTCCGTCAAAGCAGCAGGGCTGGTTATGGATCAGTGCACAGCTCTGTAGTTTGAAATAAACTCCAGCGGTGGTTTAAGACAAAGTTAAACTGTTTCTGGTGTGAGCTATATTTCCTCTGTTGTCACTGTTTTTCAGACATATGAAGAAGTAAGGGCGGGCATACACTGTACGATTTTAGCCCGTTTTTGACCCGATTTTTGAGACGCACGACCTGGCGACGCTCGGCCCGATTTCCCGTTTCGTCGGGCGGCTTTTTCCGTACAGTGTACAGGGGGTAACCAGGGCCGATTGTCTGTTCCCGAACCACCGTCGGACGGTCGAAAGAATTTCTGACATGTCAGAAATTTTGGTCGGCCGACAAATTCTTTCGTACAGTGGAAGCAGAGCCCCGAGCCGACCGGAGCAATATCTCCCTCAGTGCGCCTGCGCAAAGTGATAGTAACCATGGCGAGGCGTCGGTGGCATGAAAATATGGAGGCGAGATTGATAGAACTGTGGCACTTTCCACAATAAACGTAATAAACTATAAATAATAAATAAACAATAAACATACTGTCCACGTTTATTGAGCTAGCTCTCTGCTCGTGTTCGATGAACGGACCGTACAGTGTGAATACATAAATCGTGAGCTTTGGCCGTACATCACTCGTACAGTGTGTGATGGTATCAACGACGTGTATGCCCGCCCTAAGAACAACAGGGAGAGGCTTCTCTGCTGTGTTGTGTTTTGCTGTAGTGGTGATGAGACTGCATTCCTGTCACTGTGGGTGTAGGAGTTCTCCGCTTTGCAGGGGCGTGGTCCACTATAAGCAGGTAAATGTATTTTAATATCTTTTAGGCTTAAGTAGCTAAGAATTAGCTTAACTTGCTCAAAAATATCTAGAAGCTAGCCTCATTAAACAGCAACAACAACAAAAATTTCGATTGAATAAATAATAGAAAAGAAATCAGACAATCCAAGTCAAAGTTTTACAAAAACATTTTAATTGATAAAATAGCTACAAAATGGGTATGACCAAAATAAGCTAAAAGCTAGCCAAATAAGTTCAAGCTAAAAGATAGTGAGAATGTACCTCACAAATGGCTACAAATAAGCCAAAATATATCAAAATATCATGATGGTTTCTGTAATATTTGAATGGTTTATTTAAGAAGTTTAAGAAGCCTTAATATTAAGTAAACAAATAAACATTACCCAAAAACAATAGCTAAAAGAGTTAGCTACCTATAGATGGATGAAATGAATTAAAATGTAACTGAGAGTGATATGCAGACTAATAACAGGTCAGACTTGGACATGCAGTTTAAACCAAATAAGGATTATATGTAGTGAATGGATTACCTGATGATTTATGTCTGACTTGGTTTCAATCCAAATTAATGAAAAGTAATCTGTAAAAAACTAATCTGACTGAATGTGTGTAAGTATGTAATATGTATGTAAGTAAGCTGATAGGAAGAGGGAATTACAACTGCTTCTCCTCCTGCATCACTGAAGTGTTGGTGATGCTCCACCTCCGCGGTGAGACAGACAATAAATGGATGATGAAAGAATCGGGCCGGTCTCATCCTGTATTCTGATATTGCAGAGAGGGTGGGGGTGGCTGCTGGATGCAGACTGCTGCAGCTGAAACACCCCTCTGCGCACAGCTCTGCTCATCGATCCCAACTGCCACTCTGCAGTGGTGGCAAAGAAAAAAAGCTGCAGTGACAGTGGACAGAGTGGACCAGGAGTAACATGAGACAGACCAGTGATGGGGCAGAATCAGCTTACACATGTGGTTTTACTACGACAGAATTCTGTCTGCAGTTCTTGACAGTAAAGCTATTTGAAAACAGTGATTGAGAAAAGTTTGATTGTTTGTTGGTTGGTTTATAAACTCCACTGTTGTTTTGTTGACACCTGTGCTTTGAGACAGGAAAAATATTAGAGATTTTTCACAACTTGAAAAAGAGGGGGCAATATGGATTTCCCCATGTCTCATGTGACCCCTATGGGGCATGCACACTAAAAACCAAACCTGGGTGGAGTCAGAGAGAAATCTAAGAAGCAGTTTCTGTTTTTTAAAAATACATAAAATTTTGTTTTATCAATTGTAAAATGTTATGAATAATTTATGGATACACAGGATTCTGCAGGTTCGCTCTGATCTGCTGCTGACTCTGCGTCAGATGATGCGCTGCTACCTGCTCTGTATTAGTGATGGGAAGACCGACTCTTTTTATTGGTTCGAATCTTTGACTCTCGAACAGTAAAATGAACTAATCATTTCATTCGTTTTACAGCAGGTGGCGCTTTAGCACTATTGTGGGCGTTGTAAAGAAGGCTGCGGTTCTCCGACACTAAACTGAAGGCAACATGGTTTGCTTCCGCTGACAAAGTCTACAAAGTACAAAAAATGCCATAAGCAATTAAAACCACGCGAAAAGCTAAGAAATAAAAACACACCACAATGTGAAGATGAATGAGAGCAAACGAGACCCGAGCTCGCTGTCACGTGAAACGAATCTGCGAGAACGAAGCAAAAGATTAGTTCACAGAGAATGATCCGTTCATAGTGATTAGTTCACAGCGAAAGATTAGTTCACAGAGAATGATTCGTTTACAGCGAAAGATTAGTTCACGGCGAAAGATTAGTTCACAGAGAATGATTCGTTCACAGCGAAAGATTAGTTCACGGCGAAAGATTCGTTCACAGAGAATGATTCGTTTGTAATGAAAGATTAGTTCACAGCGAAAGATTAGTTTGCAGAGTAATTAGATCGTAGTGAAAGATTAGTTCACAGTAAAGATTAGTTCACAGTGAAAGATTCGTTCGCAGAGAGTGATTTGTTCGCAGTGAGTGATTAGTTCGCAGTGATTCGCAGTGAGTGATTTGTGAGTGATTCGTGAGTTCAATATGAACAAATATTTAATATGACTCGGTAGTCACGAGTCACGAATCTTTCATATGACTCGGGAGTCACAAGTCATATGAAAGATTCGTTCATTTTGAACGAATCACTCGCGAACGACACATCACTACTCTGTATAAAAGCATCTGCTGGACTCACGCAGCCCCGCATCTCACTGTTTCTCTCACACGCACGCACATTCCCACACCAACCCTCACGCACCTCTAAGATCCACTCACACCCAGTCTCTTTCCTCTGCACAGCAGTGGGACAGCGCAAAGTTGAGGGAACCATGAGTTACTCCGGTGAGATTTACACCAGCAGCTCCTACAGGAAAATCTTCGGAGATGCGCCACGCGCCGGACGCGTAGGCCTGGTTGCGGGCAGCAGCCCGTCCCGCCTTCAGTCTGTGGGATTCCGCAGCAGCCACAACCGCACCTACGGCTCCCCGTCCTCGGTGTCCTCCACCAACTACCACAGGACAGCGGCTCCTGGCCGCGTCTTCTCCTCCTCCATGATCCCGGACTCCTCCTTCATGATCCCGGACTCCTCCTTGGACCTGACCCAGTCCACTGCCAAAACCAACGAGCTCAAGATCATCCGCACTAACGAGAAGGAGCAGCTGCAGGGTCTCAATGACCGCTTCGTGTCCTTCATCGAAAAGGTGCACAACTTGGAGCAGCAGAACAAAGTGCTGGAGGCGGAGGTGACCCTCCTGCGCCAGCGCCACAACACGTCTCCATGAGTTGTACGAGTAGGAGATCCGGGAGCTGCGTGCCCGCGTGGAGGAGCTGAGTCACGAGAAGAGCCAGATGCACCTGGACTGTGTGCAGATGAGCGACACCCTGGAGAGGGTGCGGGAGAAGCTGGAGGAGGAGAGCAGAATGCGGGAGGAAGCTGAGACCACGCTGAAGGGCTACCGCAAGGACGTGGACGACGCCACACTGGCCCGTCTGGAGCTGGAGAAGAAAGTGGAGTCGCTGCTGGACGAGACCGCCTTTCTCAGGAAAGTTCATGAGGAGGAGCTGCAGGAGCTGCAGACGTCTCTCCAGGCTACGCAGGTACAGACCGAACACCTGGTCTTCTCCTTTATGTTTTTTTTTACTGTCATCGATTTATAATCTGGATCTTAAAAAGCTGCTCAAATTGACCTTCAACATTTCCAAAAACAAACAGGTCAACAAAGCAGAAGTAATGTTTTCCTTCTAGATAATAACAGTCGGTATTTTACATGTCTGTTAATGCTGATTAATCATCTGTTACAAACAACCGAGTAGTTTCTAATGTGGCAGAGAAATCCATACAAATCTTGACACTTTATTCTAATTGAAATTCACAATATACATTCTAACTCACCTTGAACATTGAATATTGAAGAGATATACATCTTGGATATTATTTTAACATTTTCTACAACATTTGACGGGTCGTGTCAGTTTTCTGAAAATGTTTCAGAAATGCACCACTATCGTGTTTTCTTTCTTTCTCTATTTTGTTTTTGTATAAAAATCTTTTTTATATTTTTCATCTTCAAATGTTGATCCTGTCCCAGTCTTTGGTGGTGGCTGGATCAGAAGTGTGCTGAATCAGGGAAATTTTCATTAACACCTAATGAGTCAAACTAGAACCAATTAAATTGACCATCCATCCATCCATTTTCATCCGTTACCGGGTCACGGGGGCAGCAGTCTCCATCACCGCTACCCAAATCACATTGCACCGCACCAACCCCCCCAAACCTTCCTGCGGGTGGTGATTCCACTGGAAGGTACCAACCGCCCTAACTGGGATTCGATCTTTCCTCCTGCGCCAGCGCCACAACACGTCTCCATGAGTTGTACGAGTAGGAGATCCGGGAGCTGCGTGCCCGCGTGGAGGAGCTGAGTCACGAGAAGAGCCAGATGCACCTGGACTGTGTGCAGATGAGCGACACCCTGGAGAGGGTGCGGGAGAAGCTGGAGGAGGAGAGCAGAATGCGGGAGGAAGCTGAGACCACGCTGAAGGGCTACCGCAAGGACGTGGACGACGCCACACTGGCCCGTCTGGAGCTGGAGAAGAAAGTGGAGTCGCTGCTGGACGAGACCGCCTTTCTCAGGAAAGTTCATGAGGAGGAGCTGCAGGAGCTGCAGACGTCTCTCCAGGCTACGCAGGTACAGACCGAACACCTGGTCTTCTCCTTTATGTTTTTTTTTACTGTCATCGATTTATAATCTGGATCTTAAAAAGCTGCTCAAATTGACCTTCAACATTTCCAAAAACAAACAGGTCAACAAAGCAGAAGTAATGTTTTCCTTCTAGATAATAACAGTCGGTATTTTACATGTCTGTTAATGCTGATTAATCATCTGTTACAAACAACCGAGTAGTTTCTAATGTGGCAGAGAAATCCATACAAATCTTGACACGTTATTCTAATTGAAATTCACAATATACATTCTAACTCACCTTGAACATTGAATATTGAAGAGATATACATCTTGGATATTATTTTAACATTTTCTACAACATTTGACGGGTCGTGTCAGTTTTCTGAAAATGTTTCAGAAATGCACCACTATCGTGTTTTCTTTCTTTCTCTATTTTGTTTTTGTATAAAAATCTTTTTTATATTTTTCATCTTCAAATGTTGATCCTGTCCCAGTCTTTGGTGGTGGCTGGATCAGAAGTGTGCTGAATCAGGGAAATTTTCATTAACACCTAATGAGTCAAACTAGAACCAATTAAATTGACCATCCATCCATCCATTTTCATCCGTTACCGGGTCACGGGGGCAGCAGTCTCCATCACCGCTACCCAAATCACATTGCACCGCACCAACCGCCCCAAACCTTCCTGCGGGTGGTGATTCCACTGGAAGGTACCAACCGCCCTAACTGGGATTCGATCTTTCCCAGGAGGTGAACCCTGGGTTCCACACCAATGACAGAGACATTGCCTCTGGGCCAAAGTGCCACACGTTTTTTAAATTAAAAATTCTAATTTTTTTTTATTAACTTTGACCATATGGCTATTTTGTGCTATTTGATGGGTAAAATTTCTCTAGTCATTGTCCAACTTTCAAAAAATGTTGGTTACCTTATCTTTCACATCACTTTTATGCTTTGTCTATTAATATTACTATAATTCATTAATACTAATAATGTGTTGTTCCAGTTTTTCATTTCTGGCTTCCTTTAAAATGAATTTGACCCCTTGACTTGACTGCTGTGAAACGTGTTTCTCCCCGGTCCAGGTTTCAGTGGAGATGGACATGAGCAAACCAGACCTGGCTGCTGCCCTGAAGGACATCAGGGCACAGTATGAGAACCTGTCAGCCAGGAACCAGGTCCAGACTGAGGAATGGTACCGATCTAAGTTTGCCACTGTGACTGAGGCAGCTGCTCACAACCAGGACGCCATCAAGCATTCAAAGGAGGAGCTGAGCGAGTATCGCAGGCAGGTACAGGCCTGCACCCTGGAGATCGAGGCCCTTAAGGGCCACAACGAGGCACTGGAGAGGCAGATTGCAGAGATGGAGGACTGTCATAACAATGGAATTGGAGAGTTGCAGGTACAATGACCGAACTATGTCTGGAATGTTGTTTTCCATTTGCTACCATATGTAGATGTTTTTATCCATATGTGAGGATGACAGGTGGTAATTAGTTGTCTTTTGACATATGTGAAAGCTCCAGTTCACAATGTAACTGTACAATGTATCAATGTTGTATTTTGCTTTGGTTCCTTTTTATTAAGAAAATCATAAAACATTTCATTGAATCTTTAATTTATTTCGGGTTTTGGAAAGCTCTACTGTAAGTGTGTAATGCTGGTCATCCAAGACTCCCATGTGTGGATCGTGGATTTACAAACCCCAGTCATAGATATTACTAAAGTATTGAATTCTGATGCAAAAACCAGAGTTTAACTGTGCACAGTGAAAACCGATACAAACAAACAAACACACTAAAACTCACACATGAGATATTGAATTATGTAGTATATAGCAAAGGAGTGTCCCACATCAAAAATCAATAATGTCTCTGCTCAGGGTGTTTTAATTGACGTTTGTGTGTGTGTGTGTGTGTAGGACACCATCCAGCAGCTTGAGGCTGCGCTGCACAGCACCAAAGGAGAAATGTCTCGTCACCTGCGTGAATACCAGGACCTTCTGAACGTTAAGATGGCGCTGGACATTGAGATTGCTGCCTACAGGTCAGAGACAGTGAAAAATAATTTACTTCTCCGTTTTAAAAAAAAAACTGAATGTGGAAGTCTGGTCTGTGGTCTGGTCTTATTGACATGGATCTCTTGTCTTGAAAATTTTAAAAACAGACAAACATTGGTCTAAATAACAGAGAAATAAATAATATAGTACTAAAAAGCTGAGTTGCAGCTACAGGCTAACATAAAGAAAAGGTTTCCACGTTGATTGCTAGTAAACTTGGCTTTACATTTTTTGTACAGTATGTCACAAAAGTGAGTACACCCCTCACATTTCTGCAGAGATTTCATTATAATGTTTAATTGAACAACACTGAAGAAACACCGCTCTGACACAATGAAAAGTAGTCTGTGTAAAGCTTATATAGCAGTGTAAATTTATTTTTCCCCTCAAAAAAACTCAAAATATAGCCATTAGTAGCTAAACCCCTGGCAACAAAAGTGAAAGTTCCTGAAGTGTCAATATTTTGTGTGGCCACCATGATTTTGCAGAACCGCCTTAATCCTCCTGGGCATGGATTTCACCAGAGCCTCACAGGTTGCCACTGGAATGCTCTTCCACTCCTCCATGACAACATGACGGAGCTGGGGGATATTCGAGATCTTGTGCTTCTCCACCTTCCGCTTGAGGATGCCCCAAAGATGTTCTATTGGGTTTAGATCTGGAGACATGCTTGGCCAGTCCATCACCTTTACCCTTAGCCCCTTTAGAAAAGCCGTGGTCATCTTAGAGGTGTGTTTGGGGTCATTGTCATGCTGGAACACTGCCCTGCGACCCAGTTTCCGGAGGGAGGGGATCATTCTCTGCTCCAGTATTTCACAGTACATGCTTGAGTTCATGTTTCCCTCAATGAAATGCAACTCCCCAAC